CCCCACATGGTCGACATATGAGGGTTCTTACCGGGTTAGCTACCCGCAAATCGAGCAGCTCTGCCCGGAGGGAGACGCAGATCCAGACGCAGATCATACATACGATACCATTGAGAATATTCGCCCGTCTATAATCTCACAATTGACAACAGCGCAACGGAGAAAGTCGTGGAACGGCAGCATTGAGACGCGGGTTGTGCTTAAGAACCGCTTCACCAACGGCAAGGAGGAAGAGAAGACGATCGTGAATGATGCTTCGAAAGTTCTCGAAGAGGTGGAAAAGGCACATGCTTCTGTCAAAGAAAGGCATAACGCTATCGGTCTCGCACTCTGGGAGCTGTCATACCGAAAGCAGAAAGATAATCTTGCTGTCGCGAAGGAAATGGAAGATGAGGAGGGGGTGGAGTAGAACGCTCCAAGAGGGACGCAATATGTTTTCTGCGGTTCAATGGTATTTCCCCTCGCTCCTGGCATAATCGGAATGCATGCTGACTCATTAAGATACCTCTCGACGGTTTACGATACCCATGACTGTCCATTTCCTTCTCTGGTGGACCAGCTTTACGAACCATCTTTGTGGTATGATCCTCATTCTTTGCGCATGATGCGAGACAACCTGACATTTTCCAACAGAGCTCGATGATGGTGGAACCCTTCCAGCCTTGGGTAGAGACGTGGCACTGGGCCGACCTATTCTCTCATCCAGAGACTTTTCTTGAATTGATCATTAATGCATGCTATTAGCGTCCATACCCATAGAAGCGACTGAATGAAACCGGGAAATTTTCCTCCGATGCACCTTCTTCGATGACAATAACCCTCTGTACGAACCTCGAGCCACCCGTTCCTCATATCTCGCCAACACACCCACCATATCCCCCACTCCAACCCCGACCCCCTTTTCCTCCTCTTCAATCCTCAAACCCTCTCCCTCTTCCTCCTCAAGCCCCAACCCACTCTGAAGAACAAGCACACCGTCCACTCCAGAACGACACCGACCCTCTCCCAACACCTCTCAACCAAACGTTCAACGTGCTCCCCAAATCCCATCCCCTCCCCCCCATCACGGTCGCCAGATTCGTAGAAACACCATTCGTGCCTGTGTCTCGGGCCCGGTCCCCATCTTGTGAACTGTACGCTTCTTCCACTATCCCCCAAGCAGTTCCGCCATCCTCATGCCCACCAATCCGCTCACGTACCCCATCCTCGCAACACTCCCATGTCGAGACCCACCGCACACGGCGAAATCTCCCACGCTCGCGTTTACTCCGCGCAAGCATCTCGATGCGTAGACCGCTGCATCCCGTCCCAACGAGCGTCTCGCGGGAGGCATCGGTTCGGCAGGCTTGGTCGCTTCGGGTGTTGCGACGGTCCGGAAAAGGGGGGGTTTTTTTTTGGATTCTGGCTCGCGGCGGTAGGTGAGCGAGGGAGGGTACCGGGTATACTTTGCCGTTGGGTTTGCGGAAAGTGGATACCTGGGGCGGACGATTGCTGCTGATTGAGGAAGAAGGTTGGAGGGTTGGGGGGGTGTGTTTTGCGTTGTGAGATGAGAAGAAAAGAGTTGGGGTGGGGGGGTGTGCTCCTTCGTTTCGATCTGGCTGATATCGAAGTCGGCGGCTCACCACGTATTATCAACATCCATCCCGTCGCTCGCACATACTCACTGGTTTTCAGGCATTTATGCTAGAATAGACGGGCACGAGAAACCCTCCGTCCACGATGCATGGGTTCTGCCTCCCATGTTGCGAAAGAATAGACGGTTCGATGTCGTTCGAAAACGTAGTCAGTTTTCACAGAAATTTTGTCAGGAACGTAACGCTGCCCAAGACGCCTGTACCTACTCGTCCCTCTCCAAGCGTCCTCCTAGAGACCATCGTCTTCGCTCATTGAAGCTTGACCACCTTGTCACACCGCCATATCCCGGTCAGGCACCATGGCGCTGCTTCCAGTATCTGGGCTTCCCAGTCGGACCATGATGCTCCTCTCTGGAATCATTGGCTCTCAAAGCTCATTTCCAGACCCTTTGTTCCCTTCAACTTTCTTCCTGATCTTACGATCATTGAATTGCTCCCTGCTCGGCACAGTCCAGCTGCCTGAGTCGTTCTCGATGGTGAAGTACTCCTTATCGGCACCAAGGCCTTTTCCTTCCCTGATGTTCCTCCCGTACTTGAATCGCTTGCTCGCGCTCATGGGCATAAAGTTCGTTCTCTGTGCAGAAGCACCTGCGCGCGAAAGGTCTGCTTTACATGACGGGTCTCCTGGGTGTGAGCAGCCCGCTGCTGCGTCTTCTTCTCATGGAACTCTGCCATCAAATCACGGGTCCAAGCGCTTGGCAAGGTCGACGAAGGTGGGAAGTCCCAAGTTAATTTGGGCAGCGAGGGCAGATGAGGGTGCTCCGCCCGAGGGAGATCTTGTCGCTGGTGGCGCTGGGATGGAATGCGTTGAGCTAGATGGTCCTACAGCTGAAGACCCTAGGCCTGATCGCATTGACCCTGATGATGCTGATCGGGGATCTGTTAGTGTTAAGGTTAGTGGTACTGAACCCAAGTCGGGGGCCGCAGGAGCCTTTGGAGGAAGAGAGTGCGACATTGTACTTTGCCTCGAACGTTTTCAAGGTTTGGCTCAGATTGAATCTTCGTTTTTGCAGTCTAGATGACAACCGAAATCACGGTTGGCTCGGAGTGGTGAAAGTTGAAGGCTACGGGGTCATCGGTATATAAATATCATTAGACGCTAGGTGTCCAACATTCCCGCGCAGGTTCCAAAAGTTTGTGGACAGGTGGAGCGTCGAAGGTAGAACCACTGATGACGAGATGGCCAGACACTTTCAGCATACCTCGAAAGCTCTAGACTTGCTTAGAGACAACCTGAGACGACGGATGTTTTCTGTCGTCGGAGCTGTCCGCAGTAAAGCCCACGTTGGCAAAGGCTTACTTCTTCGCACGAGAAGCTTCCATCGCAGTCCTCATCTCATCCAGAAGCTCTGGATGCGTATTCTCAATTAGTCTGAGCCACTCTGCATCTCTCTCCAGATCGCGTCTCTGCGCCTCCTCAGCAGCAAGTCTCGTACGATCGTTCCACCTTCCCTCCCAAAGGTCCTCAATAGCGTTCCTGGCCTTGTCGATAGTCGCCTGATACTCCTCATGAAGCATAATAACTTGGTCAGTAGCATCCTGCTGGATACGCGCTAGACTTTTGGTATGAGTAATAGAAAGCGACTGAATTCGCTCTTCCAGTGCAGCGACTTTCGCAGCACACCCTTCCCTACCTCTCTCTAAGTCTCGATCTAGCGTTTTCTGCATTTCAGCAACGCTAGCAGCAGCGTCTTCGCGAATGCGCTCTATTTCGCGATTGTTGGCCTTCCATTCTTTTCGATAAGCTTGGTCGACGGCTTCTCGGGTTGCGGCCAGTTCTTGCACATGGGTTTTCAACTGTTGATCATGCGCCTCATAGATGCGGGCAAGCTGACGGGCGTGATTTTCGTCGATGGTGCGCACGACACGGCCGTAATGAATACTGAGAGCATTTTCGGGGTCGGCAGTCGATGGAGTTGGCGGTTGCTCTGAGTCGTTGCCGCTTGGCGCGTAGGTTTGGATGGGTGCTGGCCTGGGTGCTTGGTCTTCATACGGGGGTAGAGAGGGCGCAATGGAACGGATGCTGTACATGGATCCAGGCCGAGTGGAGGTAGTTCGGGCAGCGTTGCCTTCGAGGACATCGTCAATCTGGAAATGCCCTTGCGGCAAGGTGGAAATGCTGAATTTTGTCCCGGTCGAAATGACACTAGATGCCCTTGATCGGACTGAAACTACTTCAGAATTACTGGTACCTTCTCTCGGTTCAGGATTGTCTGCCTGATTATCTGCCATATTGTACAGTAGTGGCTGGTTCACGATGAGGGTCATGGCCACTCGTTATATGGGCGTAGCCCCGAGAACTTGAAGTCAAAGAGCAAGCATTGTATTATCAGTGCCAGGCTACAAGGCTGCGAGTCTTCAAGGTTCTTGGAAAACGTCACAGAGACGGCTGATTAAAATAGAAACGAGCAGGCAGACAATTTGTCGTCAAGATTGTCGGTAAGTGCACAGCCTTTCGATATCGCAACACGCCAGTCAACCAACAGACTAGCTCTTGTTGCTCGAACAGAGTCACGAGATCTGTCTCTTCTAATAGAACCAGTTCTTACCAAGTCTTACCATGTCAGTTTCTGAGGACAAATTCGATTGCAACTTGCAAGTCGGTTGAGTCAGCTTACAGCGCATCCCTAAGGTCTAAGGTACGCTGCAGTCAGACTTTGCTTTAGCGTAAGTATTGTCGCGGTGAAATCAATCCCCGCTGCCCGGGGCCAACCCATGCCCAGTGAAACTACGTAGCAGTAGTAAGCCTCCCAGAAGTCAAGCACATCATCATACATGGAGAATCCTCATTGGAGGAGATTAGCCAATCAATGCACGGCGACTTTGGCGCTCACTCATCACAAAAAGTAAGCAATGAAGAATAAAAAGCCTGAGAAGGACGACGAGAACAGGGTTGAATCAGTCTTACTATACCAGACAGGCTCAACCCCTTTTCTTCTTCTATATACATGTGATCAGGTTGTTTCTATCAAAGTCCCTTAAACTTATGCCTCTCAAAGTGATTGTCGTCGGAGCAGGTATTGGAGGTCTGTGCGCGGCTACATCGCTGCGACAAGCAGGACACGATGTCGAGGTAGGTTCAAAGAATTTGCGAGTGTTTCTTTCTTGCCCGTCGTCATTGAGTTGAGCAGATTGCATTTTTATTGTTCTTGGCTTTTTGTTGGTAGAGAAACGATGATGCTCATCCTGGTTGGGTTAGCGGCCAGCTGAGTTGTCCTTCCTACTGATCGTGGATACTGCTCTGTTTAGATCTTCGAAAGGTCAAGCTTCACGGGCGAGGTGGGTGCTGCGCTGGTCTTGACACCAAATGGTAGTCGAGTCCTTTCAAGTCTCGGATTCTCCTTCGAGCGAGCCCGCGCCTGCAAAATGGTACAATGGGACACGATACTCGGAGATTCGATGGGGCGTGTGGCCAGTCTCGACCTGAGCATGGCTGAGCAAAGGTTCGGCGCTCCTCTTTGGTCGGTGCATCGCGTGGACCTGCACAACGAGCTCCTTCGTTTGGCAACTAGCGAAGATACACCAGGCTCGAAACCAGTCACTCTTCGGCTGGGAGCACAGGTGGTGGATGCTTCGACAGATGGCTCAATTACGCTAAAGGATGGTTCACGTCATGCTGCAGACCTGATTGTAGGCGCTGATGGACTTCATTCGGTCTTGCGAGGCACCGTTTTGACACATGATACCAAGGTGTCCGCTAGCGGCTTGAGCGCGTTCAGGTTCTTGATGGATACAACAATGCTGGAGGATGATGCAAAGCTTGCACAGGTAGTCGAGGCTAGAAGTCCAGGGCTTTCTCTCATCATCGACGCGAAAGAGACCATCAGTGAACGTCACGTGGTGTGGTATCCATGTCGGGAGTGGGTTACTCACTGTTGAACCGCACTACCGAGATCCTCATGCTAATCAAGCCACCAGCGGCGAAGTCCAGAACTTCGTAGGCATTCATCCGACACGACCAGCGGATCATGAAGAAACGGAAACCGAAGGTAAGACTAGAAGTTGAAATCCATCGACATTTCTGGTTGCACCGCAAGCTAAATTCATTGGTGGGGGCCCTAAGCAATGAAGGACTCCATGCTCAAGGAGTTTGGTCACTTCAATCCAGGAATTGTCCGGATTATTTCGTATGTTGCAATACCTGCATACGTACGTTGGGCATAACAACTTGCTGACCTGCTGTGCAGCCGGTCTTCGCACGTAAAGTGTTGGCCGCTCTATGTTCACGAACCCCTACCTACATGGTACAATGGCAGAGTCATTCTAATCGGGGATGCTGCCCATCCGGTGTGTCGACCTTTCACAATGCACCAAGCTAAGCGATCATGACTGACAAATCAGATGATGCCGTTCGGTGGGCAGGGTTCTAACTCTGCGATGGAGGACGCTGGGGCGCTAGGCCATTTATTCCGATCCGTTCATGATCCTGCGACGATCGAAAAACGGCTGCAGTTGTTTTGGCTTGTCAGAAAAGACCGGGTCTCCAGAACCCAGATCATGGCAAGTGTTAGAGCCGGTAGGGAAAAGAAGTGGAGCAGGAGCTTAAGAAGTATGCCGATCCGCCAGGATCAGGTACGTTTTGCATAGCCTGAAAATAATTGGAAAAAGCTCACTGGGAGCACAGCCGTTCCGTCTACACACCAAGAACGAACTGACCACGACTATGATTATGATGTTTTCGCAAAATGTGAGGAAGTACTTTTAGAAGGACAAATGGGGGAGATAAAGGTCGAGTAGCCACTCCTTTCCCAACCTTCCGAGACTTGAAAGATCGACAGGAGGATGCTCAGCTGCTACTGTACAGTTCAAGAATTCGAAAAGAGATCAAGATTGGTTGGTTGGCTGAGTAGGTTCTTTTTTTCCGTTGAAGCGTCGCAAGATACTCGACGTTAGCCGTTAGCATCGTCTAAGGATCTGATGAGGGCGAACGATCTGTATAGCAGTCCGAAACTTATTGCCGCCATGAAAAGACGAGGCGTACATGAATGACATGATAGGAAAGTCCATATGCACGATCACGCGGCTGAACA